TTGAAGGATCAATTGGTGGCTAAAGGTTACTCCTAGTTATATGGAGTTGACAACACATAAACTTTCTCTCTAGTTGGCAAGATTGGATTTGTCTGAGTTCTGATATGGCTACCTTCTTGAGGAGGTATATAAGGAGAAACCACAAGGGTTTGTTGCTCAGGGGGAGGATAGTAAAGTTTGTAGACTTAAGAAGGCAATCTACGAGCTGAAACAATCTCCTCGTGTGTGGTTTGGAAAGTTTGGTGAAGTAGTAAAATACTTTGGTATAAAACAGTGTCAAGTTGATCATTCCGTGCTCAGCTATGAAGCTAAAGCTGGAAAGATTTTGTTGCTAGTATATGTAGATGATATTGTCACAAGTACTAGTGATGGTGTGGGGGATGATTGATTAAAAGCTCTTCTACACGATTACTTTCAAACAAAAGATCTTAGTAAACTAAATTATTTCTTGGGAATAGAAATTGGAAGGTCGAGGCATGGTATTAACTTGTGCCAATGAAAGGAGAACTTTGATACAAGTCGATACACCCCATCTGGCATATAAGACTGTTTCAATATTATGAGCCTTTGCTCCAAGGATTGTCCAATATTTGAAGGGAGCTCCAGGTCATGGCTTGTAATACAAGACTGGAGGAAGTCTTGTGATAGAGGGTTACACAGATATCGAATGGGCTAGCTCAAATTTTTACAAAAGATCCACCATAGGGTATTGTACCTTTCTTGGGGGAAACTTGGTGACATGGACAAGCAAGAAATAGACCGTAGTAGCAAGCAGTAGTGCTGAAGCTGAATACAAGGCCATGGCACACACTACATGTGAAGTAGTGTGGTTGAAGAACCTTTTGTAGGAGATGGAATTCTGAATTGACAATCCTATGAAGTTGTAATGTGACAACTAAGTTGCAGTCCACATTTCTTCTGATCCAGTTTTCCATGAGAGAACAAAGCACATAAAAGTTCACTGCCACTTTGAAAGACAAAAGGTGCTAGTGGAGTGATAATTACAACACATGTGAATCAACTTTGGAAAAACTACCAATTTACTTCCTTTCTACCTTCAAGATCCCCACTAGTGTAGCTTTTAAACTGGAGAAATTAATGAGGGATTTCTTATGGGAACCAGGGGATACAAAGAAAGATCACTTGGTGAAGTGGGAGGTGGTCTCTAGAAGTAGAGATAGTGGAGGGTTGGGTATAGGAAACATAAAGTTAAGGAACACAGCCTTGTTGGGAAAGTGGTTATGGAGACTACCTCTGGAACAGGACAACTTGTGGCACATAGTGATAGTGAGTATACACGGGGTGGCAGAAAACAGGTGGGATATTGGTCTTGACCCTAGGGCATCCCGGTCATCTCCAAGGAAAGCTATCCATGGAATTTTGCCCTCATTTCATCCGTTTATCAGACTTGATGCTTGTGTAGGGAATAAAGTTCGATTCTGGGAAGATGTCTGGTTTGGGGATGTCTCCTTCAAAGACAGATTCCCGTCCATCTACTCTCTTTCATTGAATAAAGGAAAAACCATTTCCTCTGTCTATCTGAATGTTAACTCTTGGGATTTGGGTATGAGAAGGGGGTTGAGGGAGTCTGAAATGGGTATGGTTGATGATCTGATTGACCTTCTTAATACTCTATTCCTTGATCAGTCTTGCTTGGATGGTAGAATTTGGTCAGCCTCTCCTTCTGGGTTTTTCACTAGTGCTTCTTTTTACAATGCTCTTCTCCATTCATCTAACTTGGCAGGAACCTTCCCAACAAAGGAGGTTTGGTGTAACCTTGTACCCCCAAACTACTGCCTTTCACCCCACGTGTGTAGCCTCTGCTTGGCCTGTGGCGAGACCATTACACATTTATATCCTTTCCTTTTGTAGCCCTTGTTTGGAATTGGTTTTCCTCTCTCTTTGGATGCAGGTGGACCCTCCTTCAGATGTAGTAAGACTCTTTGTTCCGAACTTCTTTAGACCTCCAAAGAAGGGGAGAGCAATGTGGAGAGCAACAAGAGCAGCTGTTTTGTGGTCAATCTAGGAAGAAAGAAACAATAGGATCTTCCAGGGTTCTGAAAGATCTAAGGAGAAAATCATTGACTGCATATCTACCAAGGTCATTCATTGTCTTAAAGCATCCCCTTTATTTAAAGATTATATAGCTGATGATTTGTTTAGAGGATGGTACACTGTGGCAAACTCTTCTTCATTGAGGTCTGTGCAAAAGGAGCAATGGATCCCTCCTGCACATCAATGGGTGAAGCTGAACTTCGATGGAAGTTCCTTAGGAAACCCGGGTCCCTCTGGGGTGGGAGGAGCTTTCAAAGACAGGAAGGGTAGACTGGTTGCACTTTATTCAGGTCCGATAGGTGATGGAGACTCTTTGAGAGCAGAGATTATGGCCTTGCTACAAGGTCTAAGACTAGCTAAACAATAGGGCTTACACCAGATTGAGGTAGAAGGGGACTCTAAACTATTAATTGGGTGGTTGTAGTCACATAACTTGGGGGCATGGGTACATCGACAATTCACAAGGGAAATAAACTGCTTAGTAAGGGAGGTTGGGGCACTGTTCAAGTGGACAAGGAGGTCAGCGAATGGACTAGCCGACACTCTTACAAAGCAAGGAACTTTCAGGGAAAACTTGTTTTGGGCTGTTTTGTAATCAAAAAGTACTTTTCTTGGGGTAAACACCCTTGCTGGGTGGTGACAGTGTATTCTCTTAATCTGTCTAATGAAAGTTACCGTTTCTGATCCAAAAAAAAATTACAAAACAAGTGAATTCAAAAAATCAGTGGGCAGATTTGTTTACAAAAGGGTTGACTCAGGGGAGAGTGGATTACATATGTAACAAGCTGGGATTATATGACATAAACTCAGCAGCTTGAGGGGGAGTGTTAGAGTCGGCAATCATAAGGGTAGTTTTGTCTTTTTGCTATGTTATTAGAGTTAAATTGTCCCTTTTTATCTTTTCTAAGTTATGTGCCCCATACTTAATTAGGGACATAATAGTCTTTGTACACCAAGACACAAAATATAAATAAAAAGGTAGTCGGATGAGAGATTTTCTCCAGTCGTTCTCTCTATTCTCTTCCTCCTTCCTCCTTGTTCTCTTCTATTCTTTCCTCCTTCTTTCAAACCTAGAACTGAACCAATGCTAACCAAACCATTAACTCCAACCTCCCCCTCCCCC